ACTGGAAGGCGCGGATACCTCGGCTCTGCTGTAATCCACAAACACAGCGTGCCAAACACCCTTAATCGAGGAAATAAAAAGATACTTTAATAAACTCTATATTTATCAAACACTTAGTGTTATTAACTTTAAAGAGAAGGCTAACCATAGAGATGAATGGAGGCAGGTGATATTTGCAGCAATGAACCTCGAGAGATCAGAATGCTGAAGAAGTAGAAGAAGATATTGGTCATAACATTTCTACTTAATTACTATTTTAGAAATTCTACTCAGGCATTCATAACTTTTAGTTAATAGAACTGGATGCACAATTTAGTTTTAATTTTTGCAAAACAATTTTGTTGTTGTTGTAAAATCAAGGGACAGAATTCCCAGATGTTTGGTTTAAATATCATCGAAGAGTTGCTTACCTTATTTTCTAAAAAAGGGAATAGCAATTTGCAAGCAAAGCGAATAAAGGACACTTTCCCCGCGACTAGAGACATAGTGGGTGTATGATGCTCAATTAGCATGTCCTTTACAGAAAGTTGCTCTCTTCACAATACGCTTGAAGGTCTCTTTCACTAGCCTATTCTCCAGCCCCCTGCGTTGTCAGTGTCCCGAATCTACATTTGCAGAGTTCGGCCTCGGCTTCCTTTTCTAGAAACTGTGCTCTCCGTCACGGTTTTTTCTAGACCACTATGGCACTTGGCATGTCTAAACTACCTCAGCTTTTGGGGAGAGGATGTTTTGTATGATCCAGTTCTTCTTAATGTTCAAGTCATGCAGGAGGGGTTTCTTCTTTCTTGGTCTATGGCATTCTAAAACTTGTCTGTAGCATTTTATATGGTCAACTTCGTTAAAAAAAAAAAAAAATCATCTAATGAGTGGTAGTATATATTTTATAAGTCGTTCCCCTTGCAGGATGCAAGTTTTCGTTTTTTAAGCCCCACGCTGGCTGTTGGCGGGGGCCACAATATAACCTAACGGTTTAACGGGGTTTCCTGGACCTTTCCACTGGTGATCCTTCATCCGCATGGTGGCACTTAGTGTCACCAGGTGTTGATCGCTTTGTTTAATGTCCTGGTGGGGTAAAACTAACTTGCTAATGAGTGCTCGACTCACGATGTGGTCAATATCACTCGATGGTCTTTAATTCACACAATATTTCTTTCCACATATTTTATGTTTATAATGTGTAACTATGCGGGAACGGCAGTGATGTTGTTTCATAGATAAATGATGAAAGTACCTTGGACAGATAAAATGAGCCATGGAGATGACTTGAAAGAAACTGAATCACGAAGTGAACCTAATAATTATCTCTGAGGGAGATAATCTACATTCTTTGGTCGTGTCATGAAAGGGAGAAAACTAGAGTGCATCGCGACAGTGGGAAAGTTTAAAGAGGAAAAGAGGTATAGAGTGACCGAGGGAGAAGATGCTGGATAGTTGGACATCATAGCAACGAAGATCATCTGTGTCAGAAGTGACTGACAGTATACAAGTTGGTGGATAGACATAACCAATCCACGCCACAAGGCACGGACAGCAGGAAGAAAAGTGTTTGCATAATTATTAGTGTAGATTACGATATATTCAGAGTGATAATAGTGTAGATACAATCTTTATTTTCATATATATTCAGACCGATAATAATGTAGACAGAATCCTTATTCCTGCTGGGTCCGAACCTCACGTTAACTAAGACAACCTTATGGTTGAATATGGCATACTAGGGTTTGCATATGTTGGATTCTCATCCTTAAGGTGTTAAACCTGTGGACTGCAATCCTGGAGGGGGCAAACTGCCATGCAGAGCTAGAATTCATACATAGGAATTCACAGGGCCAAAGATGTAAATTTAGGCTAAAAACCCCTCAAAAAACAGATGGAGCAGAGAATTACTGAATAAGGTGAATATGTTTAGGGTGATATGTAGTAAGCCATGCACAAAGACAAATAATAAGGAGACTTGCCATGAGGTGGCTGAAGGTCTATGCCCCATCGGGTGATAATAGAGAGAAAAAAATGAGAATGCATGTTCCTAATTTATAGAAAAAGATATTTTGTTTTAATACATCAGCAATGACACATTGCTGTGTTAAAGTCGATAGAATCAACTTAATTGCACTGGGTTTTACCGCGCATGGCTCGCAGCAACAGAACGGCAAGCCGCCTGTCAACAACGTCGCAGAAAACACGAAACATGTAGCTCCGGTAATGATCTCTAGTGGATCTGAGTAAAGATTTCACTCGTGAATTGAATGGCGCAGCCGTGGAACGAACCCATGACCTTCAGTGCGCGAGGCAAACGGCTTGACCACTTTGCCACGGAGACCCCATACATTGTTATGGTGTGCTGAAGTAAGGTAAAGGACCCTTTTACACCAGTGGCATAATGAGAATTTGATGCCGTACATAAGTTTTTGTTTTAAAACACCGAGTAGAATGAGTTGACATCATCCAGGTATCCTGCTTCAGGAAACTATACTGACTGTACATACCAGGACATGTTGGTGTGATAGGAAATACATGAAGCGACAAACTGGCCGTGTGTAGTTAGTGCAGGAAGAAGTATGGACAGGGCTGGCGTCCTGAATGCGCTGCTTCCAGGAGATGCAGAGACACACGTTAAGACACTGGAGTCATAGACAATGAACTGCCAGATGGAAGTGGGTATTATAGGAGAACAAGCATGCAGAAACCTGTTGTGGGGCAAAGAAAGAAGATATACCATTCAACTCTAGCTGGGTACAGTGAACATGGAGACAGATAATTGCTGCATAGGAAGACTGAACATGTAGAAACCTGTTGTGGAACAAAGAAAGAAGATATACCATTCAACTCCAGCTGGGTACAGTGAGCATTGAGAAAGATGATTACCCACTGATGTGCTAGGGTTACGATATAGATAAACAGTAACAAATAACATGTGTGTGTGTGTGTGTGTGTGTGTATTTTTTTAATACATTAATCGGCATTCAATAAGTGACGTAGACAAAACCACACAGTCCCTTTTACTTCTCAGACATTTCCTGATACTCATTTTAGGCTGGATCGGGGGCGCCAAGGTTTTGTTTTCAAGTCTATCCGGCGAGACTTGGAACCAAAGACATTCAGCCTTACAGGCATCCAGCCATATGTGAGGAAGTGTTTCGTTAAATTTCATTAATGATATAATTTGACTATATTCATTTGAAAATATCACCGTGATGCAGCAGAACAGGCGGACAATTTGTCCAGCAGAAAAACTTAGTAGGAACACCGCAAAAATAATGCAGACAAGCCAAACTGATTAACACAAAATCAAAGAAACGAATCTGTCCAGAGGAATGACATACCGGGCATAGAAGAATATGATGACCCAGAGTAGTCTAGCTTCATCAGGCCACATTCTGGTAAACTGATATGATTCAGTCTTGCTTGCTATATCATACAATGGCAGTAAACATTCAGTAATTAAAAAAAAAAATGTTTTTTTTTCTCCCTATTATGTAACATTAGTTTGTTTAACAAAAATAACGAGGAGGATGATAACAACAAGAATAGTAGTAGTACGAATAATAAACAGAATGTCAGCAACTAAGACACTCTACTGTGTAGCTTAACGTATTTTACTACTAGAATGTTGTACTATAGTGATGCAGTTTGTCAAATGTCCTGGTAGTATTAATGTTATCACAAATGTGTAAGAAGTAACGAAATATGAAGTTAGCATTTCTGTGTTCAGGTTTTATGAAGAGACTAATGTTCACACAACTAAACTTAACAAATTGGTTATGTAAGTTTAAATAACTCAAAAGTGTAGCATATTTTATCATAATTTCGTATTTTTTATTGTTGATCTCAGTGAAAGACATAAAATACGCTTAAGTTCAAGAGAAATTCACCATGGTTTTGAGAAACTAATGAATACTTAGTGATTTAGTTCACACAAAAGTAAACAATGTTTGTCACAATAAACAGGAATTAATTATTTTTCTTATTCTTTGTAGTTCCTGTGAGGATGTGATTATGTTGTGCCCATTTAAAGCATGACCTTATGTGTTTGCACCCATTTCTTTGTGCTTTGTTGTGTATTTAAGGGGCCATTAAACGGCATCTTTTTTCAATTTAGGACAAATATCACTTTTTCAATGTGTTCGTTTTTGTAAAACTCGGCATTCATAGAATAGATTACACACAATTTTTAAGTCATTTGTGAACAATTTAGCATTGAAAAGTTAGCGCTAAAGACATCACCCCAAGCACGTTTTAACCGTTATATTTGCTCGTTTAAGCAAACATATCCTACTTTCTCAACATTTGTTGCCAGGTAAGCTTTCCTAAAGAATAGCTGGAGAGAAACAGATAAGCACGCAACACTCAGATCCTAGAACAAGACTAAAGTCCAGAGGTGGACGAACATCCAATACTTTACGTTGGAGTTTACAGCCGGTGAACGTGAAGAAGAAAAAGGGAAAAAGAAATCATGTGTAATATTCTTTTAAAGACCCCAAAAACACGATGGAATTGACCAATAGTAAAGCAAGATTTTTTTTTTTTTAATGTTGTGACCAAATTTAAGAAATGAAATATAGCATTATTTGATAGTTGGAATTCTTCAAAATAACAAATGATACCATATCAATTTTTGTGTAGGAAAAGAAAGGGTGGGATAGGGGAGACTGAAAGAAAACACTAATTACACTTGCAGATCCATGCTGTGGGTTTTAAATCGACAGGAAATTTACATAAATGAATATATACACAATTAACATAGTAAAGAAATACTGTGTCCTTAAAATACTTTCAATGTACTAAGGCATTTTAATTTATATTAGACTTAACACAAAAAACAGTAGTAGACTTTATAATGGATGGTGTGTATCCTATATCACTGTGTACCTAAATAAAGATGACCATGCTATATATACCACGAGTTAAGTACTGTCAACCCAGTCATTTTGTGAACTAAACAGACACAACCACACAGTCAACTGGTCGTTCTCTTGCATAGTTCTCTACAGTATTGAACGTCACAATATTCCGTGGGAACTCATTTGCACATTCGCTGATGGTTCTTCTCCGAGAAGCCAATAAGTGGTCACAGTGCCTTTACCCTGAAGAACAGATAACAAAATGAAATATATTACTAACATACCGACATTCTACATGATCTGAGCATATTTGAGAATTGGCTGGCTCATAAACATCATTCTATCCTGAAAGCTGAGGTATTCAGACCATGTATACCGTCATGTTAGCCTGGAGAGAACTGTGATTGAAGGTACAATTTTCGGAAAACAAGACAGAGGCAGACCTAAGCAAATGTGGATTCAAGTAACTGAAGGTTTATTCGCTATGATGCACATAAGGCAGTAGCTCTCAACCTTCCTTACTCTGCGACACTTCAATATAGTTCCTTATGTTGTGGCGACCCCCAATCACTACAATGTTTTTTGCGTTGTTACGTCATAACTTCATTGGATATGTGCTTTCCGATGCTCTTTGGCGACTCCTGTGAAAGGGTCGTTCGACCAAGAAAAGTGTCGCAAGCCAGAGGTTGAGAGCCGATGACATGAGAGATGAGAACTGGCTACAGAAAGAGAGACTTCCAAGCCTGCCCTGCCGATAGCTACCTTGTGTAATGGACCTGCTGATTAAGGGTGGCGTTAATACAGTTTTGCCACATGTAAATAATTTCACCATTTGTATAGTAATTCGGGAATAAGAAATCCCTAAGTGTAAATGAAGTAAAGTAGAGTAAAGGACGCTTTTTGTGGTTGCGGTGCACCAAGTGTATAGTAAAGTAAATTGTAACTAACTTTTTCATGCCAGTTGATTCTAGCCCCAAATCTTCATAGACTCAACCAAAACAACTATTATAAATCTATTGTAAATGCAAATTCGAATGTAAGGCCCTAGGTACTAAGCACATTTGGTCCATAACTGTTTTTAAACATATAACATATAATCTATACTGTATGGCGGTGATTATAATTTATTGTGTCACACACAGTCTTCTGTTGATCATTTTATAAAAAAAAATTACTTTTTTGCCTGCATCACTAGATGATTAAGACCAGGGAAAGAAATGAGAGAAAAAAAAAAAAAGGGGGGGGGGGGGGAAGGGAGGGAGTGGTTGTCATGAACCTCAGAATGCAAGGCCACATGGTTAATACAGACGCCACAAACTGTGTGGCATAGGATGTTTATTTTTACCCCCGACAGAAAAATCTTTCACCGAGTTACGAACCCGGGTCTCCTACACGACAGCCTTGTATTCTAATCATTCGACCAGCCGCTCTTATATTTTATTTACAAGCACCCTCGCTCGTGAAATAATACTAGACTGAAACATCTTCTATCTGGGATGTGGAAAGTGCAAGGATGTCAACAGGTAGGACGTCCTAGCATTTGTCGAGAGGTTAAGCTTCAGCGGGGATAAAAGATAAAAGATAAAACAAGAATTAATGGCTGACCTTCATTTCAACATCCCCTCTCAGCTCCAGCTTGAAGGTGCCAAAAGAGTCCAGAATGGCTTTCGTCTGTGGACTCACGTGAATCTTCAGTGCTGTAGAAGAGGTAGGCATTTGACACAATGTCAAAACAATATCAAAACATTTGAATTGCAACTTATTGGACAGACTAAAGTTGGACTTTTCTCCATGAAAACAAACAGAACGGACTCTGTACCAAGTCTCACAGTATGTTATGTATATGACACCCAACATGATCAATATTACTCTGTCTATATTCTCTCCCCAAAAAACTTCGTATCAGTTCTTTAAAAAGGACAACTGGATGAAATGACATTTATATGGTATGAGGCACATGACACGTAGATTTCATGTCAATTGATAGATATCTGGTTGGATATTAATGAATGATAAGATTGACATAAATATTATTTTGCACTTCATTGTAGGAATTACACAAGCAAAATAAAGTAAAGCGATTTGTAAAAGAAGAAAAACATCAAGGTTACGAAAAATAAATGTGACAGAAAAATTCAAGAAGGAGAAACAATGCAGAACATCGCAACTTCGAGGAAAAAATAAACTGGCGTAAAAAAAAAAGCATTATGTCAAAAAAAAAAAAAAATTGTTTTCTTCTCCATTATTTCCTCTTATACTTCTTCTAGTATTAAGGGAGATAAATGATTTTATTTTTCTCTGTTCCGCAGAACTGACCACAGGCAAATGATAGGTGTTGGTCTAGGTTCAACACAAACATGTATATATGCTTTTTTATAGTCTAAAGCACAATGTACTAAATAGACATAACGCAGTTACATCTTCGGATGAAAGCAGAAGATATTTACAGTAATTTGGGGGGTAGGGGGGGGGGCGGGGAAGAGGGGGATTGGGGGAGGAACAACAACAACAGTAGTTTTCGGCAAGAAGAGGAATCTGTCGAAAGTGGCCTCATTTTCTGCTTTAGCATTTCAAACTACTGGGGTTCATTGCTGAAGATATCACCCACCTCATTCAACTCTGTGACTCTGTAAAATGTATCCTATATGTGTGGCTTAGAAATCTAGTTTGTGACGAAAGGAGGTTTTATCAATGGTAGAGGTGTCAGCCCGTTACTTTAATCGCAGCAGCGGACAACAACGGGCTTGGACCATTCAAACATACCTGAGCACGAAAATAAGTACAAAGGCTGTCGACATGAAAGAAAACAAAAGCTTCATCCCTTTTTTCAGTGTGTCCTATGGGTAGTCACTTTCCCCTCAAAAGATCTGCTAGCCTATAATGATGGTAGAAACAAGCGCAAGAAAAACTGATATGAGGGTCTCCGAGGCGAGATGATTAAGCTGTTTGACTGAAGCTTCGAAGGGCGTGGGTTCCATTTTGGAGTATGTCACAGGGTTTGCGAGTGCAGTTTTTCGGAAATCTGCAGAGATTGTCTTTGGAGTTTCAGAGTTGTGTACTTAAACGAAAGAAAGTCCGCTTTGTGGATAGAGGCGATTCCATCTTAGATAATTGCTGATTTAACTAAGGTAATCCTTTTGCCTCTTAATACATCTGTTAAGAATCACAACATTTCTATAAAACATTAACAGTGACAGAAGACCACTATTCCAACACTCACGTTCTCCGTTAGATTCCATTCTAGATGATGTGTTGACTGTGTCCCCGAACAAGCAGTATCGAGGCATCTTCAACCCAACAACGCCAGCACATACGGGGCCTGTGAGAACCAAACAACAGAACAAGATATTAGCGCTGCATGAACCAATAGTGGGCAAGGAATCTATTTCACAACAGCAGCACGTCGTGCCTAGGATACTTGTAGAGCAGTTGACACTCCGTGGATAATATACCACAATGCAGGTTGACCTGGAACTCAAGGCATGGAAAAACTAGCTGTTAACAAGGCTGTCATCCTCAGGTGCCTTGCCGACTGGCGTGGGCGATCATGCCTCTCCATAATCTGCGATCTTCTGCAGCATATATCAGTTCCTGTGCTGACACACCTCCATGCCATGCAACAAGACTGTCAAGCATCTTCTCTCGCTGTCTTCCTCTATCCCTCCTTTCACAGATCTTTCCAGTGGTCACAACATGTTCTATTTTCCCTCTTTTCATAACATAGCCGAAAAATGATGACTGTCTCCTTCTGATGTCTGTAGATGACGATAATTTACGTTCTCGTAGCTACCGTTTTTGGATTAGACGATTTATAGAAAGTGTAGCAATAGTAAACATGTGGGTAGGAGTAAGATTGACACAGAAAAAAAAAAAAAAAAACAATAGGACCCTCTTACAAATTAGAGTCCACTCACAAACTAGGTCGACTTACACATTGAATGCATGTATTTCGGTGCCGCTAGCTCGACCAAGAAAGCAAAGCAATGGTTGGTTGAACAGACTGGCACAGTAGACATACGTGCACTTAAGCAACAATAACCATAAACTCTTTCTGCACATTTGTTTTCTTTCCTGGTATCCCGGCCGTCTGCTTTTAAGCTCACTATATCCCAAAGTATCTAAATTCAAAGTAAACTAGAGCTAGAAAGATCAACGGGGAGACATGCACAAATTTAACAAATTATTCATACAGGAGTCTTTATCAACGAATAAATGATCCAAAGAGCCTAACACTTTATAGGAAACAAACAACCGTGAAAGTTTGCCTTCTGAACAGCCGGAAATATTGAAATATCTTTTTTTTAACCCCTTTATGAGCAGAACATTCACTGGCACCTTTCCGTCTTTGCAGACGATATTGTTATATTACGCTATGAGGAGGCATGGGACTCACAGCCCATGGCGATGGCGAGTGTGACTAGCTAGACCCGCCCGTGTCAAAAAAAGTCTTCCACAACGATATCATGGGATTTCAGGACCGTTGTTGTCAACATTTGTGTTTAATCCGTTTCTTTTCAGACGCTCAGCTCTCATCCTTTCGGCAATCATTTCTTCCTTTAGTCTCATTCCGTTCCTAATATGCCCTTTCCATACAACACGGTCCATGACATTTTGTTCCCACGAGTCCACTTCAATACCTGTATCATTCATGTCCCGCTTGAACACATCTTTATATCGTAGTAGAGGTCGGCCTCGACATCTTCTTCCTGTCTTTAATTCACCATAAAAGATGTCTTTAGGGACTCTGCTATCCTCCATTCTCGAGGTGTGACCCAGCCACCTGAGCTTTCATGGACTGAGCATGGAAAAGACTGTTGTAGTACATGCTCTTTCCAGTGCCTCAGTGTTTGTGATTTTGTCCTGCCACTTAATACCAAGTATTCGTCTTAGGCATCGCATGTGAAAGCTATTAAGCCGTCTCTCCTGGTGCAAATAGGTTGACCAAGTTACACTGCAGAACACATCCTAAAGATTCCACAACACACACATGTTCCTTGTTGATTGTGACGAGTAGCTAATCGTATATGATGCACAAGATAATAACGAATCTTGTAAAGCTAACACGCGACTTCAGACTGAAATCTCTTGTAACATGTTAGAGCTGACTTCGAGGTTAAAATAGATGAATTGTGACCAGTAGAGGTACTTTGGGGTGGATACTCCATGGAAGGACCCAGTACTCATAAGAATGCCCAATGTCCAATGACTTCGACTGTGACAACATAACATAAATAACACAACGTATATAACATGATGCTTTGCTTGGGACAGAAAGTCATCACTTTCATTTTTACTGTATTTCGGCCTCACCTGAATGTATGCCTATCCGGAGTTTTAACTGGTAGTCTGGCCTATGCCTGACCTTGATCGTATGTGTCTCCTTCAGTAGAGCTAGGGACATTCTGGCAATTTCTCTGGCGTGGAGATTCCCGTTCCTCACGGGCAGTCCTGACACTACCATGTAGGCATCGCCAATAGTTTCCACCTGCAACCATTAAATGAAGATATAAAAGTCTCAGACAGTATTGTGTAAGAATTATTATTCAAAATTACTATACATTTTCGTGAGCTTTACTATACACTTCTTTAGCGCAAAGAAGACGTAGACAGATGGTGGGTTTTGTGTGCTCGTGCTTCCACTAACATAACTCCACGACCCTACGGGGTCAAGAGTTATGTTATGTTGTAGCAATGTTAGCTATACACCATTTTAACAATAGCCAAAAGTTTTCATTGCTATAAGCGTTAAAGTTCTGATATCTCTCCCCCCCCCCCCTCCCCCTCTCTCTATATATACAGGTGTTTAGTTATATAATGTGCTTCAGCTTTATAGACAAATATGTACATTTTTTCTTGAAGAATCCTCAGTTAAATTATGTATTCTGGTTTCTAAATGTAACATTGTTTACTGACTTCATGTGCTGATAAGGGCTTTTTTAGCTGCAACGTTCATAGGTTGTTTGTGATTGTTCTTCTTCTTCTTCTTTCGTTCACGTGAAAATAAATTTTCTATACCTGCAGTGTTGTCTCTAGTATGAATGTCGTTATCTTTTATAATTCACATAATAGACTGTAAATGTGTCTCTCTTGGCCAGAAGTTTTGCCTGGAAATGTTGTTTTTGCGACAGTCTTGGAGGAAGTCGGCTCTGTGGCTAAGTCGATGCGAACGCTTCGTAATGCCGGGATGTTGGGTTCGATCCCAGTCGCGGGCTATGCGCCTTGCGTTGGTTTCGACAGTGGTATCAAGAAAGCCGACCGTCTAGAAAGCAATGGTAGCAATAATAAACTACTAGATGTAAATTTGCCTAGAAAAACCACGCAACAGCCAGGGGCTGTTAGGGTTGGTTCTGCAACGTCCTGTAAAGGATACGCAACTAACCTTGGAGGATACGATCTGTTGTCTCAGGCGCCAATCCACATGTGCACAAGGCTGATTCGCCAGTCTTACATTTTGTGTACATGTGGCTGCGAAGTCGATTGTGTCCTTTTCTAAGGCGTAGACAAATGATTTGCTCTGGTCTGTCCATAATATGGTAATCGTCTTGTGCCGGGTTAGGTGGCTTTCTGATTGATTCGATTATTCTCTTCTTCTGTTGGTAAAGAGACTGGTACGTCATGTTCTTCTTCGGTTGCACCTTCCTTAACTAGTTTATTAGCGCTTTCATTTCTGAGAAGACAGTGTGACGGTTTCCATTGCATTGTTACCTTACATCGGTTGCCTAGTTCAGAGAGTAGTGTCCGTACACCTGACAATTTTGCAGACTGTAAGGCGTGACATTAAAACTGAATAAAGAAATTAGAGGCAGACAGTCAATATTTAGGAAATATAATGCGAAGGAGTAAACTCGAAAAACTTGGTGACAACTGGCACGCTTGGTGGTAAAAAAATGCGGGCCGACTTTCCCACATTTCCTTCAGACCTCTAGCTGTGCTGTTGTTACTTTTAATGTGATAGAAATATTTCCCTTGTATTTTTCAGAAATGTCTATCAAAATTAAATTTCAGTAATGATATTTTGAAATAACGATATTAGTATATGGCAATACATGTGCATCTTTAATGACTGTATTTGTTGACAGTTTTGCAGTTCCTATTTTTGTTTAATTACAGTCTGTGAAATTAATTCAAAATATACTGCTACAGTGTATTTTATTTTGGGTATATTTTTTCTACATGACAGTTCCACTCACAATCGATTCTACTGATTAAATTGTTAACAGTATTGGGATAAGGCACTTAGGTATCAGGAAATGAATGTAAATTTACCTTGTAAACATCAAAACGTGAGACGACAGTGTCAAAAGCTGTGTACAGATCATTGAGTAAGTCCACAACCTGCGAAGAATATTATGTGCAAAAGTTACTTGATATTTGGCAAGGAATAGACGTTACATACAACATAATATACTAGAAATATGAAATATTGTGACAGTTTATCCTGGGTCATCAGTAAATATTCAGTTATTTAAGTATACATGTAACAAATGTAAGTATACATGTTACAAATGTAAGTATACATGTTACAAATGTAAGTATACATGTAACAAATGTAAGTATATATGTTACAAATGTAAGTATACATGTTACAAATGTAAGTATACATGTTACAAATGTAAGTATTCATGTAACAAATGTAAGTATACATGTTACAAATGTAAGTATACAAGTTACAAATGTAAGTATACATGTTACAAATGTAAGTATACATGTTACAAATGTAAGTATACATGTTACAAATGTAAGTATACATGTTACAAATGTAAGTATACATGTTACAAATGTAAGTATACATGTTACAAATGTAAGTATACATGTTACAAATATAAAGACAATGTGTAGACCATAAACCGCCTCTCTCTCTCTCTTTCTCTCTATCCTTCCCTCCTCCCTCTCTTTCCCATCTCTTTTCCTGTCTATCTCACTCATGTGATTTGTGAATCATTTTGCACGCTTTTATGTGTTTTTTGTTTGTGTTGAACAGAGAACACTTCTTTAGAAGAGTGTTCAAAAACGGGTTAGGAGCAACGGTAGTGCAGTTGCAAGCATAAATGCTGTTACAGGGAAAACGTAGGCAACCTAAAATAAAAGCATTACTTCTGAAAGAGTGAAGGCGACTTTAACTTCTACACCATATGTTTAAAAACCTTTCTATGTGGACTATCACCCCTGACTTTTTTTAAAATAAGCAATAACATTTTTTTTTATTCAATAGCACTATATCCCTGGAAATATACTCATTATAATGTGCCGGGCTGATAAGAATAGACGTTAATTATTAGCAGTCTTACACGATCAACAGTACAACGGCTTTTTTTTTAAAAAACCACCTGCTATCTTATTTTGTAATTAAATACCCCTTACTGCCCTTGAGGTTTCTACCGACCCCCGGGGTTGTGATAAGAACCCAAATATTTGTATGAGGCGCTACCGCCTTTCGACCGTTTTGTCACCAGGGGGAGGTAGCACCCACTTTGGAAAACAGTTCTAGAACTCGTCACATGGTTATAAAGAAAGAGGATGAAAAAAATGATCTTTTGCGTGCAGATCTGGCTAATGTGTGTGTTGTCTACTATAGATATCCGATTAAGAAAAGTTATGGACTTCGTCTATTTAGAATTGAAAAAAAAAAAAAAAAAGAATTATCCGCAGTCAAGCGGGAGATTACGAGGTCGCTACACTTAATGTGGATAGTATCTTGTGGGTCACAATTTCGTAAAACGGATCGTGTAGGGATTAAAATGAAGTACATAATAGCAATTCGTCCAGGTTAAAACGTCTGTTTAATGTAGAGCGAAAGCTGCGACTCCTATCCAATCAGTCAGTCTCAGTATGATGCAAGTCTTCGAAAGACCGCCCCAAATAGCTTCGCGCTGTCAGATCAAAAATTCAAATTGTATTTTGATTTCGTGCTAACGCCCCCTCCCCCTTTTCCTCCCTTAACAGTGCCGCCTGATGCGCCTGCATCTCCGTATTATAGCACAGCTCGCTCTGTATGCAGTAAATCTTGTCTATGTTAAGATAAGACTGATTAACTGGCAGGGACACACACAGTGCCGGATTCAGATAAAAGCTATATAAGCTACAGATTAGGACCTCACGATATCCAGCGGCCAAATAACATTCCTAATTTTTTCACATTTGCAGTTTTATTTTGAAATATTTTAGAACCCCTATTCCCGCCCTTTTCCCTAAAATAGCTAGTTTTATTACTATTATTTTTTGGTATTTTATCTCACGTGTGTTTTATTTATAAACAACCTATTTATTGCCATTATCCATTTATTTAAAAAATTATTTATTGTAAAGTTTTCCGAGAATTTTTGCTGCAATTTACAACGGTAGGGGTTTTAGGATTTATACAACCTACGGCCTCATCAAGTCTAAAATCGGTCGTAGAGACACATACAAACATACACACGACACACACCAACACATGTAGATGCACACAAAAATACACACGACACACACCAACACATTTAGATGCACACCAACATACACACGAAACACACCAACACACGTAGATGCAACCAAAAATACACACGACACACACCAACACACGTAGATGCCCACTAACATACACACGACACACACCAACACACGTAGATGGACACATAAATTGACATACCTGCATGGCAGTACTCTCCGCAGACAGCGCTGTGAAACCACAAATATCAGAGAAATATATGGTCACTTGTTCGTAGGTTTCAGCGTGCACAGACTCGCCTTTGATCAGCTGACTGGCCACCGACCTGATAAAAGATCATATACAAAATGCAACAGCTTAGCAAATGCTCAATAACCCATTGTCCAGATTAGATTATTGTACTAGGAATTTACCTGTGAAATTATCACTTTTCACCTATGGTTTCTGAAGAAACTCATTAATTAAAAAAACAATATTTGAACAAATGTGTGGTTGCCTTGGTAACATGTTTTGTTTTCTTTGATAAAATGTGTGTACGCTTTGATCGAATGAATGTGTGTTCCACATAGTAAATGTGTAGGCGCAAGAGGTCTTATCTCCACTTGTATGTACAATGGGCTAAAGCAGCTCTGCTTGTGAAGAAACCAACGTAAACGGTAACTAACACAACTGGACGAAGCTGCTGAAAGAGCTTCGCACTAGCTCTGGACGCAAAGGAAAGTCGTGGAGGATGGGCCTCGGTAAACTAGTCTGAGTCCCTGTAGGAACGGAGCTTCTTATCCCTTAAAAAGCTAAGGTGTCTGATTGATGTCTGCCAGTGTCCCTCTGCCAATTGCCAAAGTCTAACATGTGTCCGATGAACTAACCGTAAACTTGTCGCTTGGTCGTTCAGGTAGCCTGCTGGTATAATTGGCTACCACAGCAACAGTATATATATTTAACTTCCAATCTTACAGTACCCGTTGCATAGTCACCATTTTGTCTTGTCCCTGTCCGATAACATCCGATAAAGTGCAGAAGGAGAAAATCGAGGCCTGGGTATCATGACACAGGTCGGCCCACCCTCTGAAATTATCTAGGAGGTTATAGGCTGAAACAATTGTCGACGACGGATCTTCTACTGATGATTGTGGTCTCATGCTGTACATGCTACTCTATGGAGTTCTTCTTATCATTGTGTTCACTTTGGTGACGTGTATATTTACTGTGGTTAAAATGCGTGGTCACTTCGGAAAAATTGTCTGCTTTGATGAAATGTAAGTTTATTTCAGTAAAAAGTATTTGTTCTTTGGTAAATTGTATGGTTTCTTTGGTGAAATGTATATTTAAATTGGTCAAACATGCGTATATTTTGATAAATATGCGGTCATTTTGGTAAACATGTGATCGCATTGGTAAAATGTTCGTTTACTTTGATAAACTGTTTGGTTGCTCTTGATAAATGCATGTTCACTTTGGTAAAAAGTGTGCTATTTACATTTTCCATACATTGGTTAACAGTGTGATCATGCTGGCAACGTTAGGCTACGAGCTCAGTGCAGTAAAATCTGTGCTCGCTTTGGGTCATTGTACCGAAACCAATAATCTATGTGCTGACCTTGGCAACATGTTGTAGAGAAGATCTTCTGCTTTTCTCTTCTCTTCTAAATAGTCTTGTGTTCTCTCGCTGACAAGGGCCTCTAAGTTATTGGCGTACTGTTCCATTCTAGACAGGAGGTTGTCCAGAATATTGCCTTTGTCTCCTTCTCTGAGAAAATAAAACGACAAACACAGACATTCGAATGATTACATGTACGAATATGGAATAGAATGTTTACATACAATACGCAGTAATAACTTTGAACTATGCATTAGATTGCAAGACTTGCGTGAGAGTATTGTCTGGGCATGCATGCTGGATTTAGATACAGCGAACAAACGTAACTCTTGGCTAAAGAGAGAGAGAGAGAGAGAGAGAGAGAGAGAGAGAGAGAGAGAGAGAGAGAGAGAGAGAGAGAGAGAGAGAGAGAGAGAGAGAGAGAAAGAACGAATTTTATTTTTAAATGGTCACACATTTAGCAAGCAGGCCCGTCTTACAGAGAGAAAAAGAGAGAAAGAAAGAGAGAAAGAGAGAGAGAGAGAGAGAGAGAGAGAGAGAGAGAGAGAGAGAGAGAGAGAGAGAGAGAGAGAGAGAATGAGAGACAGTTAGCAACTTAACTCATCAAATCGTAGAAGAATGAACAATTGTGTTCATCGACTCACACATGATTGAAGAAATATGTCACTTAATAACCTGAATAGGGAACTATTTTGCGCAGTTGAAAATTCTTTGAGAACGACGCTCAACTGCATTAGCTTTACACGTTTTCCTATTTCTTAAGAGAGAAACAAAAGTATACGCACGAAAGAACGCATTTCCAATTTATGTATTTAAAAACCCAACACAAATAAAAATATGAGGCTTTCATCTTCAGACATGTTCTAAATAAAATAAAATATTATAAACGAAGTAACGTTTGATCTGCCATGTTAAAAAGGAAGGAATTACAAGCCCCACATACTTTACTGGATTCAGTCTCATACTATGTTAGGGGAGCTTAAAATGTTGGCAACAAGATTAATGATATCATTACATTAGTCTTTAGGTGTTATTTTCTTCCATACTGTCGTGTGTCTGACGTCCCAATACTTGACATGGGGATTAATTTAGTAAATACGTACTTATAATCACATTACCATATTTCTTTTTTTTAATACATTTCATCAGCACCACCACCACAACCATTATCCTCATCATGATCATCATCATTATCATCACCATCGTCATCCTACCCACTATCGTTCCCAAGGATGCTAACACGGGCAACAAATATCTGAATTCGGAGGGAGGTGCTGACCAAAAAGACACAACAGAATTAATCCTGGGATGAACAAAGAAGATGTAGATCACTATCATCAGCATATCATCATTAAAAGCAACAATAACAACATCACCACCACTACCATCATCATCTTCATCCTCATCAAAGTTAAGCCCACTTCCAAATAGCATGGGTGATAAAGCCATTGCCAAATGGCGTGACTGATCACGCTTCTCCAAAAAAAAAAAAAAAAGCTGTCGGGAATGGTATCTCACTATCGTATTCTATCCCTCTTTCTATAAAATTTTCCAGTTTCAGTATTTTTCTTTCTTCCCCTTCTGTAACTCTCTCTCTCTCTCTCTCTCTCTCTCTCTCTCTCTCTCTCTCTCTCTCTCTCTCTCTCCATATCTAGAGACATCTACATTACTACAGATAATCACCTGTTAAGTTTCCTTATTTGACCCTTGAGCATTTGGAAATCGGGCCTCTCATTGGGGTCTTCTGCCCAGCATTTGCGGATGACGTAAGCCAACTCGTCGGTGGGACAGTCGAATGTCTCTAGAGTTGGTCGAAAGTAAGGTTTGATGGCGTTTTTCACTTTGTCGATGATTTCTGTGAGGAAATTCAACAAATGTGTAAAGAGTGCAAAGATCATCGGCATTTAAAGCACAGTGAAAACAAATAAAACAAGACACGCAGCTGGCCACACACAGAGGCCATCAGAATCTGGGGGACTGAGTCATCTGAGTACCTCTTCCAATTATTTAGCCCTACAAAATTGTAAGGTAATTAGGCAGTTCCCCAAAACGATGTAAAGAAGCTATCTTTTTTCAAGCACTCGGGTATACATTCTACATTATTTAAAAACATGTCTATTTATTCATTTCAATACAATCTTAATACAGTGAACCGTCGTGATGTAGGGGCTAGACGCTGGCCTCTAGATCGGAAGGTAGTGGGTTCAGATTCTGTTGAAGGCGAATTTTTATTTTTTAGAAATGATCTTAGCTTTCAGGTCGACCTAAATGGATACCAAGTAAAGTCCTGGAAAGTAACGATTGTCGGCGTGATGCTGACTACACCACACACGAAGTGCCGATTGGTCTATAAAATATAGGTCTAGCACTTTTGCCCAATACGCCAGAAGGCGTGGAAACGGGTCCTCTACTTTCCTTTTAACGCCACTACCACTAGGACGACGACGATGATGACAACAACTACAACAAATACGACACCTACTTCTGCTGAGGCTACTGCTGCTTCTTATACTACTACAGCGATTTAAACATGACCTAATCCAGATGAGCCCACCATTATCCTCGCAAATATATGAATAGATCATATTTACAATTTGTAATGGATTCTGGTTCCAGGGCAAGATTGTAAATGTCCTTAGTACATTTTATCATTTCACAAATATCAAGTAGTTTGTGACAGAAGTTATTAACCATACAAAATGATTAGCAGTCTAATACTAGACTTGTACCTTGGGGACTTAGATCCAGGTTATGAAGATGGAAAACGCCCTTTCTGTACACAATCTCTTGGCAGATGATAGCAAAGCTGTACACGTCACCTTTGGGTGTCCCTTCCCTTGGCCGGTTGGCCATTCGCAGAAGCTCAGGTGCTGTCCACAACATGCCTACATTTATAAAAGTAACCAAAAAAAAAAAAAAAAAATGTATTCATTACTTTTAAACATTTTAAATGTAATTGTTTTTTCGCCGTTATGTAGATAAACAAGATAGACGTTCTCTGTTTTATCCTTTTGTAAACGTGAATAAAAATCATAAAACGATTCTCATAATTATTATTATTATTATTAACATCAGCATTAAATCCAAAAACACCAACTTACAACAATTTCATTATCATCATCATCATCATCATCATCATCATCATCATCATCATTATCATCATAGTAATTAGAAGACGTACAAAGTGTCTGACTCATTGGCATTGACTGTGCATCTATACTGGTCCCGTCCTGTAACAATACGTATAATGTTATCTGTCCATATCACAACGACGCCGCGAATAAAAAAAAAAAAATAAAAAAACGAAAATTAAACGATAAAAGATGAGTTTACCGTATAATAAAATACCATCATCACTGTAACAATTTACAACATAATACTAAATAAACCATTATACTGACAGCGAATAACCCATCACTGTCACTCTACCGTACCTTTCCACTTCATGCTGTGATATTTATTCGTCCCATACGGCTGCAGTCGAAATCTCCAGTAGGTTATATCCGAGGCACTCATTTTCATATCCTGTAAAGAATCCAATCTGACACCCATGGACACTCATTTACGTCCACAGCCAAATATTTTTTCAAGTCCTCCTACCTGAATCCGTTTGGTTCCAATTTCAGTGCTAGTTTTATTATTCTTTTTCTGCTTCTGTTTCTAATAAGCTCAATATATCTTCTTTTCTGTGTGTGTAATAAACACGTAGACGTTGTGAACATTTTATTATTATTATTAACTATAAAAGGATGTACTAATGAATAATATTATTACCTATGAAATGGTGTAGGAAAGTATAACTGGGTGGAACTGGAAGGGCATAATGTTAGACTGGCCTGCGTGCCCATTTCTTAACTACCTTAACAAAAAATTTGTTCCTTTGTTCGTTTTTTTCCCTCTCTTTGTAACTGATGACAAAATGTAAGTCATGATACCAGTAAGTTTGGGAAATACTGCAGTAAGAAAAAAGATTCACGACAGGGACAGGAGGATACACATTTAGAAATCGAACTGCAGGGTTACTCTAAATTGGAGTGTTACTCTAAATTGTGGTGTTACTCTAAATTGTAGTGTTACTCTAAATTGTAGTGTTACTATAAAGTTCTATAATTGTGAAAGCCCACGTGGCTAACGTAATGACGACAAGGGTCAAAAGAGACGAAAAGAAAAAAGAGCCCGATGGAATAAGCACCTTGACATGGTGTGTGCTGGAAACCACGACAAATACAAGGAAGACTGGCATGAGTTTCTTTACCCTCAGGGCTCCATTGAAGGGGAAAGAATAGAATAATATTAATTAGAATAAAAATCGAAGAAGAGGCAGAGGATAACGTGGTATAGGAAGATACGCAGGGCAAAGTTTAACTCACGTTGATAATGAGCAAAACTGGTCTCATCCTCCTGCATCTCTTCAGATCGCCGCAGATAGTGAAGACCAAAGTCTGTAATTTTCACAACAAACCGGCTGTCAACCACACAGTTCGTTGACTTCAGGTTGCCATGAGTCCGCACCTCACTGCCATGTAAGTATGCCATCCCCTGTGGAAATTGAAAATCAATGACATAATAGAGACCAAATTTAAATCGGGAACCGCCGTGGTATAGTGGCTAGATGCTCATCTGCGGATTGGAAGGTCGTGGGTTCGGGTCTTGACGGAGCCGTAATGTTAACAAATGACAGTGGCTCTCAGGTCGACCCAGCCTTGAGTGGGTACCATATACAGTCTTGGGAAGTAAAAGCCACCGGCTTAATGCTGACCATATCACCCACCGAGTACCGATTGGTCTATAAAATATAGGTCCATCCTTACATTACCAATACGCCTAGAGGCGTGGAAAATGGGAATACAATTTTTTTTTAAAATTTACTAATATATAAAACTTTATCGTAAACCACTTTTGTCGTTAAAGATTGTGGGGAAGAATAGTTTGCCATCCAATGCATGCTGATTCACACTGGCTATTATCCTGCCATAAAGCCGTAAAAGTGTCTTTAATGTTGTGGATACATAGATTTGTGGTTATCTTGCTCTTGCAGCTGATTTTATGAGATGTAGTGCCTGTAATTGTATTGGATGTTGTATGTTTTTCGAGACATTGAAACCACTTGATCTGCAGTTTCTTGATGAATCTGGTAGAATGTAACGTTTTCCGATTTGTCAAACAGTATCATTATTCACTAAATCTGGGATAGTGCCAGTGGTGATTTTGCATTCAGGGGATTTAGATAATGTCCATATCTGGCGCTTGTTGTTCAATGCTGGTATGAGTATGTTTTTTATAATCTGGTCTTTCCCCCACGCATAGCTGTGTTTTGATGGCTTAATGATGATGGCAATTAGTGCGTAAGTGAACTTGCTTTTTGACATCTAGTATTTTTTAAAATTCTGCCATCTTCCGTGATCACACTTTATAGATTTTTAAACTCCCACACTTGTTTTAGACCACAACCATTCAGCTGTATGTGTAATGGGCCAAGGTTCCACATACGTGCATTGTTTCAGCTTCTTTTTTTTTTATTGAACTTCATGTTGTATTTACTACATGCTGAGCTTTACTATTACTGTACTCTTACAGTCTCTTCTTCGCTGCAGAAAAAGCACAGGCTTTAAGCAAAGAGTAGTTCGTTTAATTTGTTAATTTGAGGTAGTCAATTACTTCTTCTGGTGTGTGTACTTCCTCATGATTATAATGATACATACACACACACACACACGCACACACACACACACACACACACACACACATATATATATATATATATATATATATATATATATATATATATATATATAAACATTTATATATATGTGAGAAAAAGAGAGAGTGAGCAACACACACACTCACAGAGAGAGAGAGAGAGAGAGAGAGAGAGAGAGAGAGAGAGAGAGAGAGAGAGAGAGAGAGAGAGAGAGAGGGGGGGAGGGAGAGTAAAATGAACAAAAGTGGGCAATGGTGAATAAAATATGGAGGTTGTTAATAGCGCTAGGTGTCATCAAAAATTATCTAGCGAAGTTGTCGGCCACGTTACTCGGTTGCCAACGGATACAGAACGCAAGAGTAGTGTTTTAAGGAACAAGCGGAAACTTAAAGTAAAACCAATGATGAAAACGCCAAACAGAAGAAATGACAAGAGTCTCTGGGATGCTACACTTAAACAGTGGACACTTTCTTGCTCTTCATATTTCCCCTTGCTTGTGCAAGAGATGAAAATGGTCAGCACAAAATAATGAGAGGAAGAGCTGAGAAAAGGAAATTATTTCTTACCCGACAACAGGAACAAAGCAAACATTTGAAAACTAAATTTTAACACTCGAAACATCAGAAGCATTATTTATTTTTAGTTTCATTACTTAAGGTGTTCCGTCCCAAACAAAGCATCATGTTAGATTAGTTACTGCCCACAATCATAAAGCAACACAATGTTAGTTATTGATTCTTATCGACTTGCCTTGAATCTATTTGATAAATTGTAAGTCCTGTGGTGTAGCAGCTAGACGAATCGACCTTTCGATCCTGTGGATCGGAAGGTCGAGAGTTCGGTCCGAACAGAGCCTGACGTTTTTCAAAAATGACATTGAATTCCTGGTCGACGCAGCCAGGATGCCAGGTAAAAGTCCTGGGAAGTAAAGGTAACCACGGTAACATTGGCTACATCACGCATCGAGTGCCGATTGGTCTGTAACATATAAGTCTAGCCCTATACGACCAATACACCTAAAGGCGTGAAAAGGGATCATTTACTTTACTTTACTACTAGATAAAGTTGGTTAGATATTTCAATAGTTAACCGTGCGTATTTGCCTCTCTAAACGTCATTTATTAATTGTCTTTGACGTTTTAGATAAGGCCTCTGTGAATGGACCATCTGCTGCTAAATTTTCTCAAGCAGAAAGAGTAATAAATAAATAAACAAACAAACTGCATCAAATAACAGTTTTAGTTGTCACTTACTCTGACAATGTCTTGCATGACTGAGTATCTGAACATCCAGTCAAGCTTGATCTCTTCATTCTCCAAGACATCCTGCAGGCTACCCTTTGGGCAGTATTCCGTGATGATGCACTGGTGAGGTGGGTCTATGCATGCTCCCACAAAACGGACAATGTGATCATTCTGAAGGTCTTTAATCTGGGGAAATCACCAAGGATATACCGTATGCATTCGCAAACAAAGCTTGATGAAATAATTGAATACCTAATGGGATGAATTCAAGAAAAGAGAGGAGAAAAAGAGAAATGACCGGATTTAACCATTGATATTAACAGTTGTAAGACAAAGAAGATGACAATTTAATCAGAAGTGGACAGATAATCATCAAACAGAAACAGGCACTCAAATGGGAACCAAATGCACTGAGAAAATGAGGACACCCAACAGCTAGTTTTAAACGAAAGTTGATGAAAGATTGCCAAAGATGCTGGGCTGGATTCCATTCATTTAAAAAAAAAAAAAGATTGCGCAGGATTTAAAAAAAGTATGTGACGTATACATTGCATAACCGAATGTTGATAACAGTTATGAAGATAATGGACATTTTTCAGTGGATCTACGATATCGTAGTGGCTGGGTGCTCGATCGACCAAAGATAAGGATTCAAATCTTTCTGGATGTGGATTTTATATTTGCCTAAGAACTCCCAGTTCGACCAAATCTGACACAGTATCAAAAAGTGCCCAAGGAAAAAATAGTGAGGGCAACAGTGCTGGATTTCATGTCGTGATACTGAAAAACATTTCACAGGAAAGAGAGCACATCGGTGACCGAGTCGCTCATTGACTGCCCGGTAGACTTCACTGGTCGGGATAGTGTTTGGGTCTGTCTGCTTTGATCGCATCAACACATCAGAAGTCTTTTTCATGGCTTTTACTGACGTGCAAATGCTAAGCTATTTTATATGGCACACATAATTCAGTTACAATTATAACCTAAAGCTGCCCCTCCAGGGTTTGCGGGTTAAGCGTGATGATTTTTTTTTTCAACAAAGTGCCAACCTACCTAGGGGACAGAAAGGAGTGGTGGAATAAACTGTGACAAAAGGGCACGGAGGGAAAATGATAAAGGCAAATGTTGCAGAAGACCATGGAGTAATGTGTACTAATTTTCTACAAGTAGTAAACATCGCATATGAATTGCTGATAAAACAGCACCATGTCTCAGAAACTGAAATACTCAACCACAGTGATTTACCAATGAAGGAATGGTTTCGGGAAGAAGAAGCAGCAGTCAACTAGTAGGAAAACGGACACAGGACCTTGAAGAAACATCAACATGTGCTTCGTCGTTAAGCGTAGGCGTTTATGTTTCGCCATCTCATACGATCACCAGAATTGTGAGTCACGTCAGTTCTCATATCTCACCTATCCATAAGGTCAAGCCATCCAGGTATGTCTTTTTTTGTCTTTGTCTTTTTCCTTATATCTTGCCAGTTGTAACTAAGTTCTTGAGTACATTTCTTCTCATAATATGTTAGAAAACTTTGCCAGCCTACGATTTATTGATCTAACAAAGAAACATGCAAACGGGAATGCACACGAACCATGGGCAAGATAACGGGGACCAGTGGTATTTCTAGTGGGTTGTGATGGGATCTACGCACACAATATACTGCATAAAATGATGAAAACAGCCCAGTGTCCTCTACAAAATTATCACTGCTGGTCATATGAGTGAATAAACAATCACGCAAACCTGAAGATGCCTGGTCTCGTTATTCAAAAGAGATAAAATAAAAATGAAAAAAAAAAAAAAAAAAAACAATAGGATCTACTTACTCGTTTTATTTCCAGCAACAACGGCTTTTGAATCGTTATGTTGGTTTTTTCAATAGTTTTGATTGCAACAATTGCACCCTAAAGATGAAACAGCAAACACAATGTTAACCTTGTGATTTGACCCATATTTTATGTGCTAATTTATAATAGACCAGCTTTATATATTGGTGTGATAGCATTAGATTTTGCCGGTATATTACAATAGGTAACAGATTTAAGCAATTGAATCATGAACATGGTGAAACGTGTTTAGCTCAACATGAAAATGAAACACATGAATTAATAACCTTTACGCGTAGAAAAGACTAGTGAAAGCCCGATCAGACAAGAGGTCGTTTGAAAAGTCGCGCCAGCTTTAAAATTCTGTAGCTCAGAAAATATTGGGTATACATTGTTGAAATCTGGCATGCAACCACTGAATTAAGGTTGTTGCGTATCCTTTACAGGACGTTGCAGAACCAACCCTAAATAGGCAAATCTCGGTCGGCTTTCTTGATATCGAAACCAACGAGGCGATTGCCCCGCAGCTGGGATTGTACGAAGCGAAGTGTTCGCATCTTAGCCACAGAGCCGACGAAACGTAATATTCATTTGTGTGATAATTGTAATCTAAACAAACCTATATTTGCTGCATATGTAAAATAGTCTCAGATTCAAAGCAATCAATTAGCGTGAATACAGTTAATGTTCACAGCAAAACATCAAACTGCACATGTTTTAGAAGTAATCTGTGCAATCACACATGTTTTGAATAGTAAACTTGATACATCATGTACTGTCATAATTTCATCTACATAACTGTAATTCACTTCATATTCATTTCACTCCCAAGTTTTAAATCTAGCGTTAGTGTAGAATTCTCTGACCCTATAATTGAGATGTACAATGAAGCTGATTGGGATCTCTTTCTTTTTCGCGTTCACCGGCTATAAACTCCAGCGGAATGTCCAGGTTGTTCGTCCACTTGTAGAGCTTAGTCGTATTCCAGAACCTGAGTTTTACGTGGACATCCATTTTACAGATATGGCGTATTTGCAGACTGTTGGTTCCTCGCCTCTCAAAGCAGGTATTTTTCTAAGGAAACATTCCTAATTAGTCGACTTCCTAAGACATGCTTTTTAGGCGGCAATGTGTCCATCCCCCCGCCAAAAATGGGGCCCCAGAAACCGCAGTGGGGGGGGGGGGGGGAGGGGGGATGGATTGTGATGACATAACAAAAGATAAACGTTTTCAGATGTAGACCAGTGAGGCAAATATGTTATGTAACATACGCTCTGGGAGCCACAGTGAGGTAGCGGCTAGATGCTGTCCCGCAGATCCAAAGGTCGTGGGTTCAAATCCACACTGAGCTAGATTTGTTCACACATTACCTTAGCTTTCAGGTAGACCCGGCCTTGAAGGGGTATCTGATAATACCCTAGGAAGTAAAGGCAGCCGTGGTGATGTTATCCACATCATTCAGTCAATGTCAATTTGTCAATAAAAGTTTGAGTCTAGGCTTATACAATTCTTGATGCGCCACTGGCGTGTAAAATGACGTCTACTAATGTTACTTTTTTTTTTTAAAAGTATCCAGAAACCATGAGTTGTTAACCCTTAGGCTCGGTATTATGGATATCGCAACCTTTCGGCCTTGATTCCATCGTAAATACCGTAAATCTGGGAGAAATGTGGCTTTTCTGCCTACCCCTCGAGAGTCAACCCGGACCACAAGGAGTTCGTCACCCGGTCACCGCGCAATCCGGTTTAGCCAACTACGCTAGAGAGCCGGGCTAATGTTACTTATATACCTTATAATATCCAGTCTTGGTGTAAAGCTGCCTGGCCCCGTCCTGGAGATGTGCAGCTATAGTATCGCCAGAACAGGAACTGTTGTATGATCCCTTCTGAAAGTGTAGATACATTCATATAATTGCGTACAGTGTTAAAATATAATTTACTTATTGCGGCACATAATCTTCAAGAAGATATTGTCAGTTTGAAAGATCGAATAAGGCATATTATAAATTTACTCAACATAAATTGTAACTGTTTCACAGAGCATGTTGAGAAAGGTGAAAACAGGTTTGTTTCGTGCAGAGTGGCAAGCATCACTTCAGAGGTCCCGGGTAGTTAGCATCTTTTGGATATTTTCTCCAGGTCGTGCCGATGCGTTGGGAAATGAGCAGTCAGATAGGCTGGCTGACTCATCACCACTTGGGGATGAATTTATGTATGACAAGTTAGATATTGTGAGGGCCCTTTGGGAGCGAGTGAACAGTGCGAAGGCGCAGATAGATCACTACGGTCTAAGGAGAATGGCGCCGTGAGGAGTTACCAGGGGATTTGGCCGACGCTCAACACTCAGGGGAAGGATGCGACGGATATACTATCGGACGGTTACTGGTACCATCGGAATTGGAACTTCGCTTGCTGCTGAAGATAAAGACTGAGCACTAATGGGAGTGTCCTGAGTGAGGTTATGTCGATTCTTAATTCAACATTCAACTGCTCAACATAAGTCCTTCTTCTTCTTTAATCACCGGCTTTCAAGCTCTGGCGGAGGGTCTTGGTTGTTCGTCTATTAACTGGCTTTATGTCAGGGCCTGAGATTTGTGTGTACATCCGTTTATAGTGGCGTATTTGTCTGCAGTCGGTTCTTCCCTGCCACTCGGGCAGATGCACTCCGACTTCGAAGGAAGCCCCCAGTTAGCCGACTTCTACGACTTGCTTGTTGGGAAGTCAGTGGGTTTATGCTTGTTTTCCCCCACAATGGGGTGTCGCAACCCAAATGGTAAAAACATAAGTTGAAGTAAATGAGTATGTACCACAAGACAAAAAAATGACACGTTTACAACCACTGTCATCATAATTTCATCATCATCATCACCACCGTAATCACCATAATCATTAAATAACCAGCATCATTCCGTGGAGCCGTTTATACATCACATAGAGCTGACAGTACAGTCGCCCATTCAGTTCTATTCTGTGAAATCATTTCGATAACATGAACTGAATTCAATCCAGCACTTTTTGTTACTTTCATCAAGTTCGTCTTACAATTTGTTTTGGGCGTCATTGATTCCTCACCCCGCTCGTTTACCCATTAAAGTTCATGTTTTTTTTTTTTTTTTTTTTTAAACAAGAGGTGGCCAAACATTCCACATCTCCTTTGTTTATAACTGTCTACACCAGAGCTTATCCGGTCATTTCTCTTTCCTCTCGTTTAAAGGTCCTCAGTTCACTTACACGTTTCTTTTTGAATGTATTTAGCTGTCCGAGTCTCTTATCCCTCAAAAACCCAAGGCGTCCGATTGATGTCTGCCAGTAGAATTCTTCTTATTATAGCTGTCGTTCGGGCGCACACAATAAAAAAATAATACTGATCACTAAAAAGGGGGCAATTAACTAAGGCAACACGCAATATTCGTTTGAGCACAAAGCAATACATCTAGTTAAGGTTAGTTGCGTATCCTTTACAGGACATTGTAGAACCAACCCCGAAAAGCCCCTTGCTGTTGTAAGGTTTCTCTAGGCAAATTTACGTCTAGTGGAAGTAGGAAAATAAAAATGATTACAAACTTGCCTAGAAAGCTCAGCGGAGGAAAATAAAAGAGATAAAAAAAAACATTGTCTTTACTATAGCATACAGTTGGAAATTCAGTACCGACAACCGGAATTTCTCAGGAACTTGCCAGCACGGCGAAATCCCCCCCCCCCCCCCGGCTCCCCCAATTCATGCCGCGGCCGGTCGCACAGCCTCTCCTATGTTGTGGGGGTGTTCTAAGATGGCTTCGTTCGGCGTTCGCTCGCCGTATGTAATATTGTGTGGGAATTGTGTTGTCGTGAGTCTCTCCGAGGCGCCACAAGCGCCTGGGTACAAGTAAGAAGCAGGGGGAAGCGCTGAAGGTGCGTCTTTCGTGAGATCGAAATTGGAATGTTTTTAAATTTCTTCGTTCCTTGGCAATGGCTTCCCCACTGATAAGGAACTTAGAAATGCAAAAATATCGATCAGTTTCCGTACTCATGAACCGTCAGACATGTAGGCCAAACTTGTAAATAATCACGCAAGTGAGCGGTGACCACATAAGAAAAGACACAGGGGTTAAAGCGTTAACAAATAAGGAACACATGATACCCCCACAATAGAGGACAGGCCGTGCGACCCGCCCAGCATGAATAGGAGGGAAAGGAACTCTCGCCATGTGGGCAGGTTTGTGATAAGTACCCGACAACCACCATAACGACAACCATATGTATACCAAGCAAATAAGCAAGGCAAGAGAAAATAGGAAGAAATGCTGCTCTAATTCTAACATGAAGATGCAACTTACTCTGTTCAGACTCATCCGACTGCCTTGTCTCTCCAGCTTCTTATTCTTGCTGGGTGAGCCAAACAGGATGTCATCCCAGCGAACACGCCAGTTCATCTCTGCCAACTCTGCCTCCAGGCGTATATGCCTGAAATGGTAGGAGTTAAAATAAACTTTGCTCTTGTCTTTTGTATTCACTTTAAAAGTAATTCGAAGCTCAGTTCATTTCTCCTTTTTTTGTTAAACACATTACAAATTACAACTAGGAATTTTGAATACGCGAATGAAACAGTAGATGCAAAGGAATATTTTGACCAGACTTTATCAATGAATGAAACAAAAAACAAATAATCTACACCACATCAACGAATGTCGAAATCCCCCCCCCCCCCCCCCCCACACACAAAGTTAATTATGACGATAAAAGAGATTTACATGCTGAAGTAGGTCTTTCTAAAGGAATAGAGATAAATGGAACACTTAGGAAGGAACAAACGAAAATATAAAATAAGGAAAAAATTTGAAACAAATAAACGGTTTGTTTGTCTATATTACATGACAGAATTTGAGAGCGCCCAATTTATAAATAGGAAAATTTTCAAAGAAGATGCTTGTGGTGCAATAGCCGAAATAGGATAAAAGAAAATTGGGGAGGGGGGCGGGGCGGGGCGGGGGCGGCAGCCGAGTCGTGACTCGCGGGTATCTTTTTTCCTGTTGTGAATTCGATTCCTTCTCACTGACACTTAAACACCGGGTTCGCTGTTGGTTCAGAGGTTGGGGGGGGGGGGGGGGGAGGGAAGATACACTGCCACTTATCAAGCATGTCGTAAAAGGCTACTAATCAAGACTTTCCTTAAATCCACTGTGATGGGCTTAAAGGTGCCGAAGTTTGCAAGGTATTTTATAATGATCTTGGCTAACTGTTGCATAGTCCTTAGAGTTAGTAAGGAAACATTTTAGCATCCAATATTTCTTACTTTCTACTAACAGCTATTTTGGATACAACTCTGTTAGTGAATACATACAATAAAAACAATAAACGAACACCGGGGTGGGGGCGGGGAAAGGGGAGAGAAAAAGAAGAAAGAGAGATTTGGTGGAAGAAGAAGAAAAAAAAATGCAACATTTATATATATATATATATATATATATATATATATATATATATATATATATATATATATATATATAAACATACATAAATACATACAACAGAAATAATTTACTATCACCTACCTGTAGACGAAGAAAGAGATGATCAGGACGAGGATAATGACCGACCCCAGAACTATAATCACGATGACGTATAGAGGAAATGGCTCTGAAAATTACAATGGGAAAACAAGTGAAATTGTGACATAATAAAATCATCAGCATAAGTGATACATTGGTGGCTGTAAATAGCATGGAAGTTTTCAACATGCATGAACAACTAGAAAAGCTATTTCGGGATGGAATTTCACTTTTGTATCTCTTGTGAAACCTTTGGGTATCAAAAGAATTAAGGGACACAATTCTTTTAATAAGAAAGTCAGTGTAGACAAATATAAGATTGTCCTCCTTACATGTTGCTGCACACAAAAGTTTGGTAAAGACCGACTTCATCTGGATCCTATCTTCGTTTGGTCAAGCTATCCTCATCTTTTAAGTTTTAATTAAAACGTTCCCTCTGCATCACAAAGGACTGTCTATTTTACCAGTCAATAGAAATATCTACGATTTGCTTCAGCCGTATCTAAAATCTCAGTGAAATTGAAAACCGAAAAGGAAAATACAGCAATGAAAACAGACACACTTAAGGACTTAAATGCCATTTAACCTTTATATCCCAAAGCTGTGTCATTGGCTCGTCTCTCTGTGTGTCCCAAACAATGCTTCATGTGTCTTCTTACTTTTCATGTTTTTTTTTTAATGAGTACCTAAGAAAGGTGTCTACCCAAATGGTGAAGTTTGTCTACAAGATAGGTGCCTTCAACACAGGTGACATGCAGTACAGTAGTTCTTTTTCATGGATCATCGTTGAAATCAGCACTGATAGTTATGATTGTTGGACACTTACCGTCAGGAGGGCATTTAGATCCATCGAATCCACACTCTGGGGTGTCTGGTGGCGGATCCTTCCTGCCACCTGCCCAGTGGATGGCTTCTACTGGTTCGTATTCTTTGATGTTGCCGAAATAATTGGCGACCACCTGTCGGGCATATATAACAAACAATTTTTATTTTAAAATTAAGAAGGGAATGGAAGGATGGGTTCGTGAATGGATGAATGGATATATAGACATGCCAGACAGAAAGATAGACAGATAGATACATATACAGACAGACAGACAGACAGACAGACAGACAGACAGACAGACAGACAGACAGACAGACAGACAGATAGACAGATAAACAGACAGACAGACAGATAAACAGACAGACACACAGATAGACAGACAGTCAGCCAGCCAGCCAGCCAGCCAGCCAGCCAGACAGACAGACAGACAGACAGACAGACAGACAGACAGACAGATAGATAGATAGATTAGATAGATTAGATAGATTAGATAGATAGATAGATTAGATAGATAGATAGATAGATAGATAGATAGATAGATAGATAGATAGATAGATAGATAGATAGATAGATAGATAGATAGATAGATAGATAGATAGATAGATAGATAGATAGATAGATAGATAGATAGATAGATAGATAGATAGATAGATAGATAGATAGATAGATAGATAGATAGATAGATAGATAGATAGATAGATAGATAGATAGATAGATAGATAGATAGATAGATAGATAGATAGATAGATAGATAGATAGATAGATAGATAGATAGATAGATAGATAGATAGATAGATAGATAGATAGATAGATAGATAGATAGATAGATAGATAGATTAGATAGATTAGATAGATAGATAAGACAGACAGACAGACAGACAGACAGACAGACAGACAGACAGACAGACAGACAGACAGACAGACAGACAGACAGACAGACAGACAGACAGACAGACAGATAGATAGATAGATAGACTAGATAGATTAGATAGATAGATAGATTAGATAGATAGATAGATAGATAGATAGATAGATAGATAGATAGATAGATAGATAGATAGATAGATAGATAGATAGATAGATAGATAGATAGATAGATAGATAGATAGATAGATAGATAGATAGATAGATAGATAGATAGATAGATAGATAGATAGATAGATAGATAGATAGATAGATTAGATAGATAGATAGATAGATAGATAGATAGATAGATAGATAGATAGATAGATAGATAGATAGATAGATAGATAGATAGATAGATAGATAGATAGATAGATAGATAGATAGATAGATAGATAGATAGATAGATAGATAGATAGATAGATAGATAGATAGATAGATAGATAGATAGATAGATAGATAGATTAGATAGATTAGATAGATTAGATAGATTAGATAGATAGATAAAGACAGACAGACAGACAGACAGACATATATATAGATAGATAGATAGATAGATAGATAGATAGATAGATAGATAGATAGATAGATAGATAGATAGATAGATAGATAGATAGATAGATAGATAGATAGATAGATAGATAGATAGATAGATAGATAGATAGATAGATAGATAGATAGATAGATAGATAGATAGATAGATAGATAGATAGATAGATAGATAGATAGATAAGATAGATAAGATAGATAAGATAGATAGATAGATAGATAGATAGATAGATAGATAGATAGATAGATAGATAGATAGATAGATAGATAGATAGATAGATAGATAGATAGATAGATAGATAGATAGATAGATAGATAGATAGATAGATAGATAGATAGATAGATAGATAGATAGATAGATAGATAGATAGATAGATAGATAGATAGATAGATAGATAGATAGATAGATAGATAGATAGATAGATAGATAGATGGATGGATGGATGGACGGATGGACGGACGGACGGACGGACGGACGGACGGACGGATGGACGGACGGGCGGGCGGGTGGACGGGCGGGCGGGCGGACGGACAGACAGACAGACAGACATATAGACAGATAAACAGACAGACAGACAGATAAACAGACAGACACACGGACAGACAGACAGTCAGCCAGCAAGCCAGTCAGCCAGCCAGCCAGCCAGCCAGACAGACAGACAGACAGACAGACAGACAGACAGACAGACAGACAGACAGACAGACAGACAGACAGACAGACAGACAGACAGACAGACAGACAGACAGACAGACAGACAGATAGATAGATAGATAGACAGATAGATAGATAGATTAGATAGATTAGATAGATTAGATAGATTAGATAGATGGATAGATTAGATAGATGGATAGATTAGATAGATTGATAGATTAGATAGATAGATAGATAGATAGATAGATAGATAGATAGATAGATAGATAGATAGATAGATAGATAGATAGATAGATAGATAGATAGATAGATAGATAGATAGATAGATAGATAGATAGATAGATAGATAGATAGATAGATAGATAGATAGATAGATAGATAGATAGATAGATAGATAGATAGATAGATAGATAGATAGATAGATAGATAGATAGATAGATAGATAGATAGATAGATAGATAGATAGATAGATAGATAGATAGATAACAAATGAACATACATATTGGAATGGATCATATCTTTGCTTTACAACTTTCTGCTATTTAAGTCTCACTCCTGCTATACAGTTATTCACTCATTTACACTTTCACAAGCATTAATTAACAATAATTTTTAACGACATTTAAGTTTTAATTACAAACGCTAGAGAATCAACTAATTACACCTTAGTTAGTTGCGTATCTATTACAGGACATTGTAGAACCAACCCCAGCATTGTTTGGCTGTTGTGGTTTTTCTTGGCAAATTTTACGTTCAGTAGTTTGCCATTGCCTCCTGGAGGATCAGCTCTCGGTACCACTCTAGAAACCATTGGAAGACAAACCTTTCGCATCAGGGATCGAACCCGGCACCCCGGTATTACGAAGCTCGCTCGCAGCGCCTAAGCCACAGACGCAGACTAATTACACTTACGATACAATTTATCAGTACTGCAATGCAACTAATCCAGTAATGTCATTAGCCCAATGGTTAACATAATATTTACACCACCGAGAACAAATGAATATTAATTACAAAACGGTGCAATATACTCGATCTTACACCGCCCCCCCCCCCCCCCCCGCCTCCCTAATGTAAAGATGAAAATCACTTGCGGGCTAGAATTTGTATGAGTTATATGAGTCACGATACCCTGCCGAACTCTTGTATACCACTCTCATTAATCAAGGAAATATTTGTCAAATGGGTAGATGTCAAAAACTTTGGGGTCAAGTTGTAATTATATTCGACCTGTTTGGTATACCTCCAACGATAAGGAACAAATTAGAGGTACCTATCTCTTTATACATTTCATGTTATATGATATTACTGTTATATTTATTTGCAATTCATTCAGTAAACATATTATTACTATTCATTGTCTTTTAAACAAAACTTAAATCCCTTGAGGCTTAGCCCCATCCCACAATCTTACACAAATTGAATGGTGCTAATATGTGTGTATACACATTTATTGATGTCTGTCTGTCTGTCTGTCTGTGCGTGAGTGCGTCCGTGCGTCCGTCCCTCCGTCCCTCCCTCCCTCCGTCCGCCCGTGCGTGCGTGCGTGCGTGCGTGCGTGTGTGTGTGTGTATGTATGTATTTTATGTTTATGTGTTTGTAAATAAATAGCAAGCACATGAGACGAAGACTCTATCTTGCTGAATAAAGCACACATTCTAAAATTCTTGACCGCATGTGAAAGACACCACAGCTGGAATCTTACCCCAGATAGCACGCTAGCGTATCATTACTCAATGAATCCTAATTGAAACGCCCCTTTCATTTCTCATCTCAATCCATCTGCGTCTTCTCCTTGAGGATCTAATGCCCGTATCTCAATTGCATATTCGCTGCATACATTAAGTCTTCAGAATTTCGGCTTCAGCTTTCGAGAGATTTTCTCTTTCATTGAAAGACCCCTGTCCTTCCTTTTCTGTAATGTTGTTGTCAGTGTGGTATAGTATTATACAGTGGGTCCTCCCCCCACCACCCTCAAGTTTTATTACTATAAACCTTTTGAAATTTAAACTGCGTCACTTTTCACGTGTTCAAATTTGATATATTTTTGTTTCTAACAACCACCTTTTTGGAACTTCTACAACAGGCATTTGGTCGAAACTTTATATATAAAAAAATAACATTCATTATCATCATCATCATGATTATCATTACCATCAGTGTTCAGTTTCGTCATCGTTGTAATCATCATCATCATTATCATCACCATAATCTTTATTACCACCGTTAGCGTCAACACCAACATCATCATTACAAACATCCCCACAATCATCGACATCATCATGATCATCAGTTTACAGATTGTGTTGAAAAGAACTTTACTTTAGAAACAGTTTTAGACATTTCTATGATTAGCGCAGCGTTTTGCCTCAGTTGCTTTTAGTCGTAATCCGGTAATCGCAGTTCTAACTTCTCAGCAAACGGATCGCCTCACAGTTGCTCTTTTTCTGTGGCAACGAAAACCACATAGAATCTCCATTCAGTTACTGCCTCTTGTGAAAACATTGACGCAGACCACGGTCTCAGCAAAGCCAATAGCATATACATGCATTAAATACATAATTAGCCACAAGGAGTACCACCAGACACAGACCGACACTGTAAACGCAGTTCATTGTTGACGAAAGCGGCAGTTATTAACACATCAGTAGTTGCAAACACCAATAATCGCTTAAGACACCAACATTTTTTCTGGAACATGCTACTTGCCAATTTCTGGATGTGTAGTTCACAAAACAAACCACCAGTCTACTGTCGGTAACCATAGAAAAGGCATCCCAGTCGTAGACATACTTGTATCTTTTAGCTTTCCCTCACGAAGAACTCGATATTTCATGTCTTTATATGTTGCCTTTATTAAGTCAATAATTTTCTGTGGGATTCTATAGTGCCCAGTTAATTTTCATAGATATACCCTATCAGTGCTGTCAAAAGTTTTTCACAGTCTATGAATTTAATGTAAAATGGTAACTTACAACTCAATGCTTTGCTCTATTGTTATACTAGCTCCTAAGATGAAGAGTTTACGA